ATTTGATATCAAAACAACTGATTAAAGTGGATGCTAAAGACATCAAACTGATTAAGATCAGGTTTGAAATAATGAGTTGAATGGAATTGGTTTGTAAATGATAAGATGGAGATTGATAAACATAAACTTCCTTCAAGGTTAAAGAAACAAACACCTAAGAGTTCAAGATAAAAATATAAGAGATGATGATGATGAGGCGGATGTTGTTTTCTAAAGTTAACGATCAAAAGATAAAGTGTAAATGAAATCGAAAAACCAAAGCCAAGTGAAGCGATTGATTTCCTTGAAGACTTAAAAACCAGTCAAGAAAGGTGAAAGAAACAAATGGAAGTACGATTCGAAAGCATCATGGTGTGACATACGGGGTTCCTTATTGTGGTTGGTATAGTGCAGAGGTGAAAGAATGGGGTTTGCCCCGTGGCTGATCAGTTTTGAGCCTGTGTTCAAGCCCCACTGCCTGATTCCCTTTTTGCAAACTCTACGCCGTAACTCGGAACGTTCCACGGACCGTGTTCGAGGGGTCACCGAGGCGGTTTGCTTGCACCGCCAAAAACGGTGATGGGAACCGCATTCTTGCGGTCCCATCTGAAATCGATTCAGAAACGTCGCAAGTAGTTTAAAAACGTGACGGCAAGAAAACGGTTTCAAGAACCGTTTTCTTGCCGTAGGTTTACCCCCTGGTGTACTGTACATACCACTCAAAAGTTAACATGCCACAAGCTCAGCATTCCTGGTTTTAGTTGCATCGTGAACATTGTGGATGGTATTTGTAGGTCAGCGAGTGACATCCTTTCGCATGTCACTCGCGCTCTACATGGAGATTTGGCTGATCCTCGCCGATCACAAAGTCAAAAAGCACTCTTAAAGCGGAAAATTTGGTAACAACGCGCGACCTTCGGCCCAAACTGCGCCTGGTCCTTAATGTGGCCTACATACGTCATGTCCAAAAGTCGCCCTTCGACCACCAGCTTCTCCAGATCGCAATCACACTCACTTTCCCTCAGAATCGATGCTGCGGTGTGCGTTGCCCTTTTCTTCGAAACAGTCCCATTTGGCAAGATTGCGGATTGCAAACTTCCAATTTTGTTCGCACCCCTCCATTGTGATCCGGAAGTCGCTGCTTGCTAGGAGACCTTTAACACAAATGGTAACTTGCGGCTCGAGTGAGCAAGGGATGCATGATGTGCCCTCATGTACTATGTCACAAAACTGATTTTGAGTGCCAATCAGTGTTATCTTTGTTGCCGGAACTGGCAGTTGACTTGTGCTTCTTTGCCTCAGCTTGCCTTTTTCCCGACTGCTTGCCTTTCTGGTTACAGTTGCCTGCGCGATATCCCGTTGAAACTTTGCCACATCATACGACTACTGAGATGTTCGATTTTCCATTTCCTGTGATTTTACTTTTTTATTGATTAGACAGGGTGTGTATGCGCTAGACTGTATATACATTTATGTCACGACATTTGTACTATATGGCCATTCCTGAACCTTTGAACCTCAATTTTCTCCAACTGCCTTCTTCAACATCCTCCAGCTCAAACTCAACTTCCGCCATCGCCGCCTGTTTTCGTTTCCTCTGACAATCTACCCAACAGGACGGCTACATCTGGTCAAAAAGTGTGAAAACCCGCGTTGACTTCCGTCCAAAATCTCCTTCTCGATCATCTTGCTTCCAAATAAGTAAGTGCATATAGGTGTTGTGAGTGAATTGTCATCCCTTGCCCGAAATGTACTATTTTTTACTACCTGCCCAAGCTGATGAAACCCCTTGTCTTCGCGACGAATTGTATAGAATCCTTAACTCGTGGCTCCAAGGTTCCTACCGTTATACATATCATAACTGAAGCCTCTCGCGGTCGGGCTACACATCCACTCTCAATCACCTTTCAACTTACCGAGCGATCTTTCCGCGTACCACGTGGCATATTGCCGGCCACTTCGCATTCGTCCCCTATTGAAAGTCTCTACATAGAATCTTATCATAGGTGCTTGGCGCTCTCTGACATCGTCCTTCGAAGGCATCCGATCTGTCTTGGCTCAAAAGTCGTATTCGCACTCAACTAAAAGCCCTTCCTCGGCAAAAACGGGCGTTCACACACTGCGTGAGATAGGGAGCAGGAAATCTCATAAAAATAATTTAAATATCTATCACATCAGATCACATCACCACTACAATATACATACATCGCTCATTTTACCACCAAACAACCTCGATCACTCTCGATCACTTCACAATCCATCTCTCGCGACGTGAATTGACCCTATCCCTGAGCCCAGCCTTCCAGAAATTAGAATCCAGGTTTCGGCTCCAACGCCCCTCTACATACTTCACGTTGGTGAGATCCCACTACTCCATACGGTCTGTTCAGCACAAGATAAGATAGACTTTCAGGAACTACGATGGTGTTATTTAAGTATGGGGAATGGGACTATATCTGCAGATTTTCACCTCAACCGATCTGTTGAGTTGCCTTCTCTTCTTCCCTCTGCTTCGAGTCTACTAACAGGTATTACTGGAACTGCAAGAAAAACCACATCCTTTTCGGTGCTGATGCTTTCTAGAGTATATTTACATTGGTCCAGGTAACTTGCTATTCCGACAATTATTGGTTCATCCAGAACACGGAACGTCTGCAGCTCCTGATTCATACCTTGGTCTACCGGCAGATCTTGAGTATGTTGCATTTTTACATTTGCTTCTCTGCAACCTTTTGAGCCTCTCAAGCGGAGACTTCAGAATCGCGAGTCCAAGACTGAGTAAAATGTTTGATCTTTTCAACCCGTATTACTTAGAGAACGTGCAAAGTTTATATCGGAAGCCGGAATGGGGCTCAATCCTGAATGCTCTATCCCGAGAATGGCTTCAGCTGGAGGACGAGAGGGTTCTGTGGGAAATGTCGGTAAGCTTTAGACCCAACCCGTTTATCTTCCCTTTTGTATGCGTCTTGAACAACGCATGGCTCAAGACTATCTCTTCGGTTAGCGAATATCATCCTCTGTGCAATATCAGTGATAGTACCTCTAGTCATGTGTCGGTTCGTAGCGCGGAGGCGCGCCGCTGTGGGTAGAGTGGAGATGATCGGTACGTTTTTGTGATATTCGAAATGCGCCTTATTTGCGTTACGACAGTTGCTGACGAAATGCGAGTTGAACGTGCATATAGCACTATTGTTAATTTATGCACTCTGTTCTCTATTTCAACTGCTTGACACGGGTGCAATACTTCGGCAGGGAAGTCGGGCACTCGTTTGGATCACCGCATTTCATCAAACATTAGTCGTGTCTTTCTTTGTGGTGCTTGTGTGGCTTGGCTTACTTGGATTTCAACTCGTCGAGGATGGAACTTTGGCCAGCTTGGCGATACTCACTTTGTGCGGTGGCTTTCTCACCATCGGTTCGGCCTACATTTTCCTTGATACTGCTTTTGGTATCAGTCATTACTTTTTGAGTAAACCAGCCAGTCATCTGTACAGTCCTTGGACCTTCAGGTTTGTTCTTCGTTTCAGACTCGACATTTCACCTCATGCACGTATGACTCATTCTACCTCGATCATTCTCTTTTATTTACTAGCTTGATCATACTGTGGCCTATCATTGCTTGCACGCTCTACGTCATCTTGACAACGATGGTCATCACATACCGGCTTGGAGAGCGTCGACCAATGATTCATGTCATCAGTGCTGTTTTCACTCTGATCCTTGCAGAAGCTGCTCGATTCGGACTTTCTCACGCAATCTGCCGAAGGAGTTCAGGATCGGTAGACTCCAGCTTTATAGCAACATTTCTTGAAACCGCTGCACTGGGGTGGCTAGTGGGTGGATGGGTAGCCATTACTGAGGCTGATTGGGATGACTTCGAAGCTTGGGAGTAGTGAACAAATCCACAACAGCAAAAACAAAACATCTGCTTAAGAAATCATCATGCTACATTTAACCCGCTGAATGATGTCTCACTAATACCCTCTCTATTTATCCTAAGTGTAAAGAAAATTTCGTCAAAAACCAACATGGACATTTACCCAGTTTGTACCTAGTGTCAGAATTTAGTTACTAACATTATGTAGTGACCCTTCTGCGATGACCTCAACGACGCGACATGACACACTGTACTTACTTATTTTTCTTTTAATGGAGTATCTTCCTTCACGAATGTGTTTAATTTAATATTTTGATGACTCGATCAACAGTATTACCTTTGTCAGTCTACTGATTTACTGATTCATTGAGAGGTGCAAAGTTCTGTCGTACCCCACTGAACAGCTTTACTTCCTCTTCAAGTTCTGAGAGTGTAATTATCCCTGCATTTTCTAGCAGATAACTTTTAAGAGCTGTGTGATTTGATTCTATAACCATCAACAGCTGATCATTTTGCCAGCCTCCAAGCTTCTGTGCTACAACTTCAAGTACTTGAAAGGCTAAATCAATTTTCCCAGTCAAGTTGTGAGTGAAATGATGATCACTGCTCATTTTGATCGAACACCGTGATGGTCGGCCAAGTAATGCATCAGGTCTCGAGTATTTGTACCTGATCATACCGGCCCGAGTTGAGAGCGGGTAATTGAATCTATGACGTCGAGTCGAAAACCAAACCATTCAGATTGATCCTGATCGATCAAGCTTCAGCCTTCAACTCATCAAACAGCAACACTCCCATTGCTGTTCTCTCATACGTAAAATCAAGCGAAATGTCGAAATCACAATTACCGGGGATGAGTGCCAACGTCCAAGGCAAATTGACAAGCTTATTGAGGTCCTATGTCAAGCATCGTCCTTTGGTTCAGAAGACTTTCATGACTACATTCGCGCTCTACGTTATCCTAGCTACCACTGCAGGCTTGCGTCCCAAGAAGAGGAATCCTGCGAAACCGAATCAGGTTGAACAACAGAAAGCTGCGGAATCGAAAAAACCGACTCGTAGTAGGCGAAGAGGAGGGCCTCGGGTTGAGGTCGACGCATTATTTTTCGAGCGACTGAATAGGATACTTTCAATTGTCATCCCTAGCTGGAAGAGCAAAACTGCCTCTCTGCTCGTAATTCATTCGGCATTTCTCGTCTTCCGTACTGTTTTATCTCTTGTAAGTGAGCTTGACCATGTCCCTCAACTTACCTCTCGATGGTCTGAAATTGATACATCTTTCATTTTGACAACGAGGGACTTTGTAGTACGTCGCTAGCCTAGATGGCCAGATTGTATCCGCATTGGTCAGGGGAGAAGGCATGCAGTTTTTATCCCGGGTAAGTATTGGATTATTTTGCTGGTCTTGCTTCCATCCTCACTTCTCTAATCCTGGTTTATCTTTCAACATATGTCGTAGCTTGCATTATGGATGTCAATATCGATTCCAGCCACTTATACGAATTCGATGCTGTCTTACCTGCAATGCAAGCTATCGATTGCTTACCGCACTCGGCTCACAAATCACATTCATGACCTCTACTTATCAGATACGACATTTTATGCGATCAACAATCTGGATGATCGGATTAAAAATGTGGATCAGCTCATAACAGTAGATGTAGCGAAATTCAGTAGCTCACTCAGTGAGATCTACAGTAATCTCGCCAAACCAATCTTGGATGTGTTGCTTTACAATTGGCAATTGAGTAAGAATGTGGGCGTGGAAGGATTGGTTGGATTGACGGTGATTGTCCAGGCATCAGCCGCTGTTCGTACGTCATTTTATCGTGTGAAACCATCTTTTTGCGAGCCTCGTCCAATTAACCTTGACCTTTTTTTTCGACTACAGTCCGGGCTCTCACCCCTTCCTTTGGAAGATATGCATCTGAAGAACAGAAATTGGAAGGCGAGTTTCGATTCACGCATTCACGTCTCATTGAGAATTCAGAAGAGGTCTCTCTTTATTCGTCCCACAAGTCACACGAGATCGAGAAAAATATTATCGAGCGATCTTATTTTGGCCTTATCAAACATATCAATTGGGTTTACAAAATTCGGCTATGGCATGGTATGATTGAGGATGGAATCATTAAGTGGGTGTGGGGTAGTCTGGGCCTCATGATTTGCAGTATACCAGTATTTTTCAACTTGGATCAGGTCAACGTGAGCAATCTTGTGACTGCTGCGAAGGGCAATGATAATGACATGGGGGGTAGGACTCAAGGCTTTGTGACCAACGTGAGTTTGACCCTTTGGCATATTCCCAGCTACATATTATTTGGTATTGTCAACTTTCTAACGTTTCGGGGTCTTGAAATATCAGCGTCGGTTGTTGTTATCAGCCTCTGATGCATTTGGGAGGGTCATGTACTCATATAAAGATGTTAGTGAGCTAGCTGGCTATACTGCCAGAGTCGCCGAGCTTTTAGACACTATGGATAGTATCAAGAAAGGTCTGTATGACAAACGAAAAGTTGGGAATGCAAACGAGGGCGAAACAAAAACTTGTAAGATTCGAATCTTCTTTTGGAAGATAGCTTTCTGCTTGCCTATTCTCGTAAATTAATCTCCGATTTAAACCGACTCAGTGTTACAGAATCGAGGCACGATCAAGGAATCAGATGATGATATCATCTTCGATGAAGTTCCGATCATCTCTCCTAATGGAGATGTTTTGGTAAAAAGCTTGAGCTTTCATGTTAAACCTGGTGTGAGCAACGTTTTTTAGTTATCAACAAGCATGATGATTGTCACTGATTTATGATATCCCGTGGTTGCCTATATTGTACGCCGTTTTTAGCAACATTTGTTAATAGTTGGTCCGAACGGGTGTGGTAAATCGTCCCTGTTTCGCATTCTCGGAGGACTTTGGCCAGTCTATGGTGGCACTGTAACCAAGCCACCAGCCTCAGAATTTACTTATATTCCACAAAGACCATACCTATCGTTAGGAACGCTTCGAGACCAAATCATCTATCCCGATACTAAGATCGAGATGCATACACGTGGTGTGACGGATTCGGATTTAATGCGCATTCTGGCTATTGTTGAGTTAGACGGGATTGTTGAACGTGAAGGTGGTTGGGATGTGACCCGTGAGTGGCGTGATGCGCTCAGTGGTGGAGATAAACAACGATTAGCCATATGTCGTCTTTACTATCATTGTCCGAAAGTAAGTCTTATTGCTTGACAATCAATATTCCTGGTATTTTGAGTTCTGATGGAACACGAGTTTCTTCAATAGTATGCTATCTTGGATGAATGCACTTCGGCAGTGACCCTAGATATTGAGAGGGTTATGTATGAACACGCAACAGAGCTTGGAATCACACTTTTAACGGTATCGCATCGACCAACACTCTGGAAATATCACCGGTAGGCATATTCCAGTATCCGTGAGTATAAAATATTGCGTGACTGATCAAATACGCCCTTCCAACAGCTTCATCCTACAATACGATGGTCAAGGTGGCTACTGCTTTGCAGAACTAGATGCTGAGAAGAGACTTGCTCTCCAAGAAGAGAAACAGGTGATTGACTTTCATACCCCAAAAGTTCACTGTTATACTGCTTAGCATGATTGTCTTTGAATTTCTTCAATCTAGGTATTGGAGCAAAAACTTTTAGAAATTCCTAGACTTCAAGCTCGGTTAGAAGAATTAGAAGAAGCTAGAAAGAATAAGGAAGAAACTCGTGAGACCGCAGGCCTTCCCCAATGTTAAAAGTCAGTTTTTTAGATTTATAATCTCCCAAAGATTTCAAATCGACTGATCTGATTAGGTTTTTTGTGATACTACTTTTTAACAGAGCCTGCACCTTTGACTTCTGAAGACTGGGTGTTTTGAGCTTTTCACTATTAAAGAGTGTTTGCTTTTTAGTGAGTGGCTCGTGGTCGAATCCAATCCGATCACATGTTGTCAACGAGCCAGTTGGTTTTCTTTGACTACACCGGCAGCCGTGTATTATAGATGTAACATTTAGACTGTACTATCGTCTTCCGTATCTTTAAAGGAGGACGGTGTATAGTAAAAACCTTTTAGAGTCACCTTGATGTGCATTTTGTTTTTCTAACCTTTTGTGACTTTTTAATGATAGCATACACGGTTATATTTGATGTTTCATGCCTCTATCGATGCGTTTGACTTGTGTTGTTATCAACTACCCTAGCCGGATGGCGGAGAGACTAGTAGTAATTGTTTGCTCGCGGTCACCAAGCTGGAAATCGTGTTTTTAAACATATCTATCATTTAGGGGATACAAAGTTGAAATCCGGCCGAAAATCTGGCCGCGTGGCCAGATTTCCAGATTCCATTTTTTGCGGTAATTCGGAATCTGGACATGAGTCCGGATTCTCTCAACTTTGAATCCCCCGACTTCAAGTTCCATGCCAACTTTCCACTACACCACCAGTCCCACATCCAATATCGACGACTCACCCCCACTTCACATAGCAACAACTCGATACCATCGCAAAATAGCCCTCAAGAGGTCCATTCAAACAGCACGACATGCAAGAAAGGCGTATGTTCAGAACAACCTAGACTCACTTGCAATGTTTCAAGTCAATCTCGCCGGGATAGATTTTTCTTACGCATGATTCAAGCCTTACAAATCCATCAAATTGCTGTAACTGACAAGAATTGAAAGAAGGCAGCTTTCTCGGTCAACCAAACTTACAATTTAATCAATCACAACATGAACCTTATGATAGATCAATCTCAAATCTTTCGATTGATGAAAAAAGACCAACTCTTGACTTCAATTCTCACAAAGATTCCATCTGGTCTGACTATTCTTAAACTTATCTGTATCCTTCTTTGATTTGATTCGTGTGTGAAAAGATTATACAAAGGATCTAATGCAAAATTCAGAGTTCCGAAAAGTGACTCTTTAACAAAACTTCTAGATCGAGGATGTCTTTGGACTAAGATCAACTGCTATTGTCTGCCAGTTTCATTCATCCACAGGTTTGAAAGAGTCTTTGTTCTGCAGCTTGAGTTAAAACATCTAAAATCGCATGTTCAAGTGTTTTTAATTGATATGAAGCAGCTAAAGAGAAAACAAAACCAAAACCAAAAGAGTAGAATAGATTTAAATCAGATCGAATATGATTTTTAAAGTATTAATCAAGAGAAGAAAAATGATCTGTTACCGATCTGTTGTACCATTGAAGTTAATTGTCCTTTATTCAAAAAATCCGTAATCTTCACTCGATCTCGATGATTAGTTGATTCCATAAAGGA